TAATATTGTCTTGGCCTCTATATGGTACAAATCGGTTATTTGGGCCTTAGACAAACAAACCACTAAAATGTTCCAGCGACAATTAAGAACATTTCTTTGGAGGGAAAATCGCGAGTGCATTAATGTTACCAGTAGAGTAGTATGGCTATCACTGATCCAACCGAAATCTAAAGGGGGGTTGGGAATCATTGACCCATCCACTCAAGCCTTAGCGTTTTGCATGCAATGGATCAAGAGACTGATATTTAATCCTCAAACCCCTTGGAATGCACTTGCATGGGACCAGGAGGTTAGCACCCCCTACACCAGAAGGTACAAACCCGTTGATGTGGCTAGAAAATCGATCATGGTCCATGCCTAGAGGTAGTGTTAAGGAAGACGAAGGTGAAGTAATTTTAGATCGACAAGCTGCAAGACTGAATCTGTGTAAAGGCTCCTTCAAGATCATCGTCCTTAAAACATGGAGAAAATTACCTCTACAAGATAAACTGTCTCCCGAAAGATGGGAAGAGGTTTGTCAGCAACCGCTCTTTAATAACAATTGGATTAGAGATGATCAAGGATATGTTCTCCGCTGCAAGATCACCGTCCTTAAATACATGGAGAAAATTACCTCTACAAGATAAACTGTCTCCAGAAAGATGGGAAGAGGTTTGTCAGCAACCGGTCTTTAATAACAATTGGATTAGAGATTATCAAATATATGTTCTCCACTGCATGGATTCCCCCCAGCTGAGTTGGGTAAAGAGAGAAATCCTAAGGATCAAAGATCTATGGAACCCTGTAACTAAAGGTTGGTTTACTACCAAGGATCAACATCAATTGCGTTATTGTCACCACCTTGATAAGGCGCTGGAAAATGTGATAGAGCTCATTCCTTTAGAATGGATCAGTATCTTGCGTAAAGGGCTTAAGTTGAAGGTCAATGACAGGTTAGCTATTAAAGATTATCCTAATTTGATTGACAACATCCTTGACAAATGGGGGGGGGTTGATCTAACGCAAGATAATGACGTTACCCAAAACCAACAAAAAAATATAAAATGGGTGAAAGGTGATCATATCTTCAGAATTCGGTTTATGTAACAGAAAAATACATTGATCGCATTCAGACCGACTATACCAATCTCCCACCTGACACTATACCCAAAAGATTGGATTTTAAATTCCTCAGGTGGAAAAGGAAGACCGTATCATACTGACCTTCATACCTTAACGGTCAATTCTACTTATCGAATGTTTCGGTCCATAATTAATTTGAGGGATATGGTCTTGATAAGGTGGATGAAGCATCTCAACCTAAGTAGGGATGATCTTAGATCAATCAAATGGTTTAATATTATGAAATCCGGACCAGCAAAGGTGACCTCTCTGCAATGGCAAATTGAACATCGTTGCCTCCCCACCAATGATTGACTGATTTAGAGATCATCTCTGGAGCAAAGGGGAGTAGAGGCCCCGTGGTGTAAGTTTTGTAAGACTGTTTTCCCAAGTAAAACTTCTCTTGAAACAATAGAACATATATTCTTACAATATCCAGGGGCAGTTTGGCTATGGAGATGGTGGGACCACATATGGAGCCAACTAGAGACTCAAACCCAGTGGCCATGGGGTTGGAAGGCGATCTTACTAGAATCTTGGGTTTCAAATTCATATGATGAGTTCACACAAAACCTCCTTTTTTTGGCAAGGAGAGCGGTCCTTTGGGCCATATGGAGGAAAAAATATACTTTTGAATGGGAAGGTGCTCATCTTGAAGGACCATAATTCACAAATTTCATTAAACAACAAATCCAAACGGTCACTTTAACTGTATGGGAAAAGACAAAAGAAAAAATCCAACTTTTATTTAAGCGTAATGAAATCATTGAATATATTCAAAATTTATGTCAATGCTGGTTTGGGGGAATCCAGGGTGGGAAACTCGGAAGAGTTATCTGGGAAGGGGCAACAGGAGGGGAGGATGAGGTGGTTAAAAGAAACTATTGCCTGCAATTTGAAGATTGGACTTCGATGGATCCATTCATTCCTATGCGCCTTGCGAATGACTTCCGTGACCCATTTCCCCCACACCCATTAGTTGTAGACCCCAGGTCCTGGTATGGCTATGATTGAATTGGTATCTGATTATGGTAGGAGGAATGGTATTTTTTTGTCTGAGCTAGGAAGAAGAGTTATATCTGACACCACTGTTGAGGTGAAGAGGTTCAGATCCATCCTCCACAAAAATAATATTTTTTTTCTCGATTCAAGCCTCGTTGTACAAATGGGACGCTGGACCCGGTTTCCAGCAGGTGCAGCTCCCCACCAATAGATGGAGTGACATGTACGGACTCTGGTAGGTTGGGATGCTCGTATCACCCAACCTATTAGGTTCCACTGAGTCTTGGTATCTGATTATGGTAGGAGGAATGATATTTTTTTGTCTGAGCTAGGAAGAAGAGTTATATCTGACACCACTGTTGCTGTCTCTTATACACATCTAGATGTGTATAAGAGACAGTAATAATAATCTGAAAAAAACGATATGTTATGAAGAAAAATAAAAAAAAAAACATTTGCATGAGCATTACATCCAAATTCCTTACCAAATTTAAAATAAAAATAAAATACAAAAAATAAAACTAATAATCAAAATAAAAAAAAATAAAAAAATAATTAAAATTAGTGAAAGAGCGAGCACGTTCTCGATACCACCGTCTTTGGTGGGTTTTTTTTTTTTTTTTTGGCACAGCCAAATACCCTGAAAATTGACAAAAGTGTACTTCACATAATACAAAACTTATTAAAAAAGTTTCAAAAAATAATAAAATTGTTTAGGCCCCAACCGCCCCACAATAAAGTGAAAACAAAAAGTAAAAAGTGAGAAATAACAAAATAGCTAGGAATTTTTTCATGTCCGGCCGGGCCCGCACGCCCGGGGGGATCTGATGCTCGGGGTACCCGGGCATG